CTCTTTGCCTCCACATTGTCTTTCTAGTTGTATTTGTTTCGTTTTTGTGAGTGACACTAACGATTGTTTTCTCCCCAACAGTTCTGACTCCTGCTCTATCACCCCTTTCCCCTTGATGTTAACTCATTTTCATATTTCACATTGCACGCCCAGAATCTGGGTGTTGATGTCTGTAAAACTGTCTTATGATGCTTGTGTGATATTGACTGGCTCAGTGCAGGTGTAGGGTGGCCATCTGAAGGATCTTTTGAACCCCGGAAGGCCAGGGCCATTTTCTCCTGCGTCTATTCCCACCACGATGACCAGGATCCCTGTATGGAGGCCTGAAGTTCCTCCTGGATCAATCCCTTCCATTGCTTCTTCCCTTCCTTCCCAAATCTTGCCTAATGGGTCTTCCAGCCCACCCAGCCATCCCTAAAAATAGGTCTGGGGACCACCCCCATTTGCTGATGAAGACCCAGTTGATTAACCCCCTTCTTATACTCCAGGTGTAGCCCAGAGACATCAGATAGCAGATCTCTCAGCCACAAGGTCACCTGAACCTGCCCTAAGTCCGGCCCACACTTGGTCAGGTCTGAGATTTCTGACCTCACTCAGGTCGGCAGGAGATTCCCCCATTCCTCAACGCAGGAGAGTGGGGAAGAGTGGACATTGCGGGTGGGTTACCCCGTTGCTCTCCTGCTGCGGCGAGGTTCACCACTCTATGATGGCGGGTGCCCCTTCTTAACTTAATGTACCCTTCTCCACTAGTGATCTCTATAATCAGAAACTCCAAAACCCTCCTTTTTCAGAAAAACCCCAGACTCTCATCTACCTCTTGGAGACTGTCTTTATAACTCACCAGCCCACCTGGGATGACTGTCAACAATTACTTCAGGTCCTGTTTAGTGCAGAGGAGTGAGAACGCATTCCCAGGGAAGGTCTTCGCCAGGTGTTGGGCACTAATGACCAACCTTCTGAAGATGCAACTCGAGTTGAAGATGGATTTCTGATGCAGTAGCCAAACTGGGACCCAAACACAGTGGACAGTAGGAGGGCACTTTCCCAGTATCACTAGTTTTACCTTGGAGGTCTCTGCATGGCTGCTAGGCACCAACAAATTTGGCAAAAGAACCGGCTGAGAGCCTGGCTGTTTTTCTGGACCATTTAATGGAAGACTACTGTACTTTTACACCAATAAACCTGGAGGTACTAGAAAATGTGGACTATTAATATGGCTTTCATTTCCCAATTGGCTCCTGGTATTTGGGGGAAAAAAAAAAACTACAAAAACTAGAGGGCTTTGAAAGTTAAAACCTGTCTGAACTGGTAGCGGTGGCCCAGAGGGTTTTCAATAACAGGGATTCTATGAGGTAATTCAGGCCAAGAAAAATAACTAAGGTGGTTGCAGCTGTCTTAGATGCCATGGAGTGTGGTCCTCACTAAAAGCATACCAGCCCACAAGGGCAAGGAAAACGTCCCCCACTAGGGAGGGACCAGTGTGTCAATTGCAAACAGCGAGACAATTGGAAAAGGGACTGTCCCCAAGGAAACACACCCATGGGTACAGAACAGGCAGGTGTTCATGCGACTAAGGTTTTAAACCTCCATGAATCATACTGACCAGGCCTGGGTTCAGTGGGCCCCTCTGAACCCTTGGTACAGCTTTCCTTGTGGGTGTTCCTAAGACCTTCCTAGTTGATACAGGATCCACTCTCTCTGTTCATAAAAGTGATGCAAGACCCCGCTCTGGAACCCAAACCATGGTACACAGAGCCACTGATACAGAGCGGTGTGAGTGGACAACCTCCACGGAGGTTAACTTGGGCAAACAGATGTTCACCTACTCTTTCTTGGTTATGCCAAACTGCCCATGCCCCGGACTTCTTGGCCGAGACCTGTTGCATAAACTGACAGCCTCATTGAAATTTTACACTTCTGGCATGTCGGTCTGTGTTGGGGACTCACAACTTTCCCCAAACCCTTCTCTGGCATTGACTGTAACCCTCTCCTTAGTGGAGGAAGCCTTGCTTTTCCAGACATCTCCGAAAGAGGAGTCTCCTCTCTTAAATTCATAAAGGTGGTCCCCAAAGTTTGGGCAGAGGATAACCCCCTGTGGCTGGTGACTTAAGTGTATCCCGTGGTTGTGTCTCTTAAGCCCTCAGCAACTCCTGTACAAGTACCTCAATACCTCATGTCTAAGACAGCGAGGGAGGGTATTGCAAAAACACTTTGATCACTTTCAGGAGGGGGATGTCCTAGTACTATGCTTTTCTCCATGGAACACCCCTCTACTGCCCATTGAAAAGCTGGAGGGAAAGAATTTCCACTCAGCCAAGGACCTCCACACAGTCAACCAATGAGTGCTCGAACTCCACGCCACTGTTCCAATCCTGTACACTCTGCTTAGTCTTCTTCAACTGGCCCATGCCTTCTACACAGTTTTAGATTTAAAGGATGCCTTCTTCTCTATCTTGTTGGCACCGGTCAGTCAGCCCTTATTTGCCTTTGAGTGGAAGCCCCCCTCCCCCATCAGGCACTGTTTTTCAGCTCACCCGGACTTGCCTGACTCAGGTGTTCAAAAATTCCCCTACTCTCTTCAGTGAGGCCCTGCAATCAGATTTGTTCACCTTCAGAAAAAAACTCCATGACATCACATTTCTCCAATAAGTGGATGACATTCTCCTGGCCGCTGCCACTAAAGGTAAGTACATAGGAGTGACCACCGGCCTCCTCACCAAACTTTGTGCCCTGGGCTACCATGTCTCAAAAAAAAAAAAAAAGTGCAAATCTGCAAGGAAAAGGTGACTTTCCTCTGATAAAAACTAAAAGGTGTTAAGCAGTATTTAGGGGCCTAATGGGTGGCAGCGATCTTGGTTATTCCACAGCCTACCACTCCCAATCAAGTCCATGAGTTTCTGGGAGTGTCTAGTTATTGTCGCCTCTGGATACCTCATTTTACACAGCTGGCGGCTCCCTTGTATGACCTCTTAAAAACAGTGGCCAAGATTTTCATTGGGGGCTGACCCAGGAACAGGCCTTCTTCGCTCTCATGGCTGCCCTTACCTCTCCTCCTGCACTGAGTCTGCCTGATGCCGCAGACTGGTACAGTGGGGAGCACTGGACCTCAGAGTGATGAGTGTCTCAAAGGGAGGTGGATAAGGATTCGGCAAAATGAATGATAGACACGACTTCAAGAGTGCATATCTGAATGTAATGTGGAGAAGCAAACTTTTGCATTTATACGGTATTTTTTGACAAGAATAATGATTACATCAGCGTTTAATTACATATTTAACAGAACAGTATAAGGTGATGCATTACATTTTCTTAGAAGTGGGTGGGAAAGGGGGTGACAATCTACTGGGATCATCAAATAGTGGTCACTGGTGTGAGACATGGGTGAATGTGGTCATTTATCTGTATGGTACATTATATCTAATAAATCTTAATTACATTCCCTATTGTTGCCTTGTTCAAAGAGTCTTTTATGTTTTTCTGCTACATAGTCTCTATATCATTGCCATTCAGTAACTTTAAACAAATAGTAGAGACATTGTATTGTTTTAAAATATACTCTTATTGTGCTTTGTTTAACGTGCACCAAGGAGGAGGTGAACTTTTTAATCTTTCCCAAAAGCTAAGACTCAACCACCTGACTCTTTGTCCTTCTACATTAACTATACTTTGTCCCTTATAATAAAGTCTTGTATATGGGGTAGGCTCACCTGTTGGTTCTGGAAGCTTAAACATTCCCTTACTTTCCCTGGGTGGATGTCAAAGCCTCTTTCCCAGAATATATGCTGTCCCAAAATTACTAACTTCACTACTGGCATTGGTAAGCTCATCATTATAGAAAGAAACATTAACAGGTTGAAAGCATTATTAAGAACAGAATTCAGCAAGCAGGAAGTCAGGCTCCAAAATATCACGATGCCCCTCTGCATGCCCTGTTCCTTGAACTATGAGCCAACGTCCGCATGATTGCTCATACAGACTCCGTAGGAGGTGCAGTGACAGCCTGACCCCACCAATCCCTTTTGGCTCTTTGTAGATGAACAGACAGAGTGACCTGTGGTGTCCTCATTCAGCAGTTGGGTCCATGGCCCCATCTAGTTGCCTACTTTCCAAACAACTGGACCCCGTGGTAGGTGGCTGGCCGGCTTGCTTACGCCAGATAGCGGCCGTGGCAATCTTGGTGTGTGATAATGACAAGCTCACATTTGGACAGACTATTACTATAACAGGACCCCATGATGTTCTGGCAACCTTATATGCACCTCCTTCCTGGTGGCTGTGAAAAGCTCGTATTGCCCAGTACCAAGTTCTACTGTTAGACCAGCTGAGGCTCACTTTTATGCCTCCGCAGGCTCTAAATCCAGCTACTCTCCTGTCTACCAAGGGTTCTACAATCCTCCACTCCTGCCTACAGATTCTTGAGGCCTTCCAACACCTCCAGCTGGACTTGATGGATGTCCCGCTTAAAGATCCAGATCTTGTCTTATTTACTGATGGTAGCAGTTAGTCCGTAATGGGACCCGGTAAGATGGTGCAGCAGTTAGCTCTGAAACTGAGGTCCTATGAAGTTTGTCCTTCCCCTGGGCACCTCTACCCTGTTGGCTGAGCTGGTAGCTCTAACGCGGGCCCTGTCTATGGGGGCAGAACTGGCCGTTAACATCTACAAAGATAGCTGCTACACTTTTACCACAGTCCATGTCCATGGAGCCATTTACCGTGAGCTTTCCCTCCTCACTACTACTGGTAAGACTGTCTGACATAAAGAGGCTATCCTGGCTCTCCTGGAAGCGGTTTGACTGCCTACAAGAGTGGACATCATACATTTGTCCTGCTCATCAAAATGGATCTTCACCTTTTAACTTTGGTGACCACCTTGTAGACTCCACAGCTAAAGACACTGCTATTCTCATGGTGATCATTCCCTGTGGCACTCCCACAGCAATCTTCCACACCCACTCCCGTATGCAGCTGAGGATTCGGCCTCTGCCCTAATAAAAGGGGAGATGTATAAACAAAAAGGTATGTTTAAGGATGAACAAGAAAGAATCTTTCTCCCAGGGACAGCAGCACAGCAACTGGTGAAACAGGTTCACGAGCCAACACATCTGGGACAAAAGAAGATGAAAGACATGCTGAGCACCACTACAGGGTGAGAGGGTTCAATGACCTGGTGGAAGACATTGTGTCACACTGCACGGCATGTATACCGGTAAACCAGGGAAGAGCAGTGGCTAAAGGAGACCTCCTCAAGAGGTATAGAGGGCTGGGTCCCGGCAGACATTGGGAAGTGGGTTTCACGGAAGTCAAAACAAGAAAATGTGGATATATATATATATATATTTGCTGGTGTGGGTGGATGTCTTCACAGGTTGGGTGGAAGTCTTCCCAACAAAACATGAGACATCCAGGGTAGTAGCAAAAAAAAAAAAAAAAAAAAAAAAAGGTAGAGGAGATTATACCCCGGGTTAGATTTTCTCTTAGTAAAGGATCAGACAATGGGCCAGCCTTTGTAAACCTGATCACACAGAGGATAGCGAAAGTGTTAGGGATTGATTGGAAATTACACTGTGCCTACCAACCCCAGCATTCCGGGCAGAATCAATTGGACGATAAAGGAGACACTTACCAAATTTGTCATGGAAACTGGCTTAAACTGGGTTGAGGTTCTCTCATTAGTCCTTTTGTAGGTATGGTGCACACCTGTAACCCTTGGTCATTCTCCATTTGAGATCCTGTTCAGACGACCACCACCCTTGCTGCCGTGCATAGGGGAAGAGATAAAAGCGGCCACCTGACTGTTTCTTACCCCCTACCTAGGCCTATAAAAACTCTTCTCTCCCTTCTATCAGCCTGGCCCTGCCGTGACTGTAGTTGCCTATCTATCCAAATGCCTGGATTCTATTTGTGTCTGGCATCTGTGCCTGTGGATCTTGCTGCAGCTGACTCTCATTTCCATCACTCCCTAGCTCTTCCCAACCCACAACATCCCTTCAATCTCTTCATTCACAGGCCCAGGCCCTTCGCCTTCTCTGTCCAAAAGGAAGTGACACATACATTACAGGGGCCTATCTATCAGAACAGTGAATTGTCAACCCCTTCAGGTCCTATCCTTACCCTCTCTCCAAGACCTCCTTGACCATCATGCTTTCTCTGTCCTCCTTTCCTGAGCTCAGCTGCTCCAGACTCACCTTTTTAACCCCAATATTGCCTATTCTGTTTATCCTGGTGTATGTTAACAAAGAAACTTGTTTGTAAGTTCTTTATCTAAACCTCTGATGAAGTGTCTTTCCAGAAAAACTGGTTTATTTATCTTTTCCCCTTGGAGAGGGGATACTCTTCTTCCAGTAAATGCCTTGTCTTCTTTAGAAAAAAATATTCAAGATAAAATCTGTCATGACTCATAGTCAAGTAAAGTGAGGTGTGTGTTAAATAAGAAAGAAATATGCTGGAAATAAGTATTTTAAAGGACTTTAAAAAAAGAAGGTAAAAGAAAATGTTGAAGGTCAAGAAGATAAAGGAAAGATTTAAAGGTAGGAGAGAGGTTAAAAAAATATTATGTGCTAGAATGACTGGCTAAGCTTAATCTCAGTACTTACATGAAAACCAAACTAATTTATTTTTCATCTACCGTAAGAACTCAAATATTCTTAAACTGTTTGACTCTGGTCAGGGACCATATGAAGACACTTAACACATTTGGAAATTTTAGTCTTGGTTACTTGCTCTTAAGTTTGTGTCCTCCTTAATAGTTAAAGCCAGTTGTATTTCATTCCTTTCAAACCTCCTCTAAGACCTCTGTCTGAACCAGCTTCCTCTGATCTTGAATCCCATCCAAACCCTGGAACTTTTTGGAGAACTCTGACTCTAAGGAACCTCCTGTGATTTCCATCCCACCCAGATTGAATGCTATTCTTTTTCTGTCCTACTTTTAGTTTTCTCTGTAAACTCTCTATCCCCTCCAAAATACAAATTCCAGGTTGCACACAAGGAAAGACAAAATAAACCTCCTCAACTGAACTCTGTCTTCCTCACTTTTGATGCATGCACTGCCATCCAGTCCCACTCATCTCCCTCTGAGCCCAGTGGACTCATGTGGCAGGATGTCCCGGGAATGGACCTAAACCACAGACTGAATTAACTATACTCCCTGTTCCTCCAACTCAGGTTTTCAAGCCCATATCTGGTCATCTTCACCACACCATTGGGTGTGAAGTCCAGGGATTCAACCACTGGCATCATCTATCCATGCTCCAACTGCAGCTACTGATAAGTACACCTGTAACACAGTGAGATTCACCAAAACAATGCTTTAGCAAGTCTCAGAGAAATGTCTGCTTTCCTGGTCTATTCCCTACTTCTCTTCTCCACACATAGTCAAAGAAACAACCAAACATGCCCTGCAGTCCCAAATACTATTAGAATCCAATGATAACCTGTTAGGCAGTGCCTTCTGTCCCAACACAACTAAGCTGAAACTATACAGATCTCTTTCAATCTTTGCACTTCGCCAGTCCAGAATTGGCATGGGACTCACACAAACCACCAATCTTAATGACCCTTTCAACTCTTTAACCTACACTCCATACCTTTGGATTTATGGTTCACATTCTCACTCCTGACATGGATTCTCCCACAGGTGGGACCAATAATTATGACTTTTTTTTTTATGTTTGCTCCCTGTCTTCTCAGGTTTTTCCAACCCCACATTTCTGAAATGAGTCTCCAGTCCTTTAATCAGTTTCTTCTCCACCCTTATCAGCATCTTCCACAGTCCTCTCCATGTCTCCAACAAAATGGTCTCCCTGACAAACCAGCCTCCCTGCCCCACTTCGACCCCTGTCAGCAGGAAGCAGTCAGATGAGTCTTCACCCTATTATCACCAAAAGGCCTGAATATTAAGGTTCAGGCACCAGACAAACATAGGCCTACGGAAGGAGCAGTTGCCCCAGCAGAAGTAGATATTTGGGAGTAAAAAGCTTATAATAACTTATTGTCACCACCAGTTAACACAAGCCTGGACAGAAAAATAAATTCCAGTTCCTTGTCAATATTTTTCTACCTAGCCATTTCTCCCCTCTATCTAGGTCTATAAAACTCCTTTTACCCTTTCCTCAGTGTGAGTTCTCTCACCCCAACTCTCTTTGGGGTCAATTGAACCTCACCCCAGAGCACAGAGATAAACCTACTTTTGGTTTTACTGGACCTACTAACTTTTTGTGTCCTCTTTACTGTGCCAGAACTTTCACCCACTGGTCTCTCCCCCACATCTCTCTGAACCAGTCCAGGGCCAAGAAACAACAGCTACTTCTTCACATGTCTTTCTGTTCCATGTGCCTCCCTCAGGTTTCCTTCTAACTCTCCATTCTGTTTCCTCATCAGTCTTTTCTCCAGATACTTCTCTGTTCATCTCTACTCTCCTTTGGGTGAAGCAGGGAATCTGGAACCTCCCTTTTTCCTAAGGACCATCTTGTTACAGGTGTTGTGCCTCCTGATCTTTGTATTGAGGCCTAAGGGTCTTGGTTTCCATAACTTGATTAATAGCTTACACGAATCCCTTCTAACACTACCTCCTTGTGTGAAAATGTTCCTGACCTAGTAACATCCCCTTCAGCCTTTCTATTCCTATTATTCATCAGTCTCCCTCATGCTGTCTTAATGTCTCTGTGCCCAGAATTACATTTTGCATCTCAGCACTTACAGCCCTAATCTTAGAATACATTTTTATTACCTTTGTCCAGGAATGTCCTGTTGCCCAGGACATTCTGGGAATGTCCTCATTAATCAACTTTGGGGGTTTGTTGCCCTTGTTTCTGGAGCCTTCCTTATCCCTCATTCTTTTTCTTATTCTATTATGACCCTGGAAGCAATCTACTTGCCCTATGACTCATTGGGATGCCAATCTGTACCAGTTATTTGCTGGGATGCCTGGTCTTGGGTTCTGGCTTTGACGCAGGGACATGTCTTGGCCCTTCATGTGCATTCCTAGAGCTGATCTAGTTTTCCTGGTGTTGATGGTTGGTTTTATGACCTTGTACATAAGCCAGCCTTATAATTCCCTTTTCTATTACAGCCTCTCAAACCTGCCTGCTGGACCTGGAGTGCAGGCTGAGTATTTAACTTCATTAAATTTTTACCTGAAGTATCCAATTAGTGGACACCTAAAAACTGGGGGGAAAAGGGCCAGGAAATTTGCTACTGAGATGGTTAGTGTATCCTTTGCTGCCTGGGGATTAATGGCTTTGGCATATAGATGAAGATAAGTTGTGGACCAAGAAAAGGTGAAAGCAAGGAGGGAGCAGCTGTAAAAGTTGGGAGATATTAAGGTGAGGAGTGTCCTACTTCCTACAGCTGTTCATTCATTCTATGGTTAGTGAACTCAGACTTTGTTGGTCAATGAAGGAGGTACTGATGGAAGTACTGGGTGTGACAAATATAAAGGCTGGTGCTTGTCTTTGTAGAACAGAGTATACTAAAATTTGAAACTCATTATTTTACAGTGTAGCATCATATAACACAGGAATGGATATGGTATTTAACCCTAACAGAGAAGATGTAAATAGATAAATACAAAAGGTCACTGAATTTGCCAGAACACTGAAGGGTATATGACACAAGCTATGCAACGTCCATTGTCTGACAGATTCCAGGTGGATCGGGATAAGTTCTGAAAAATCAGACTGTCCACTGCTAACTTATGTTATGACCTCCCTTTTTGTATAAACATAATATCAAAATATTCTGAGCAACATTCAGTTTATAACTGGATTGTCTTAGCCACACAGGCGGCTGCCTGGTTCAGGCAAGCTGCCCCAGGAGGAGAAA